AGTTGTTATTCAGAACTTATTGAATTTAACGCCCACGGTCTCGGAAAAAATGTAGAATTAGAAGATATATAGTTTTCAACGATTTAATTAGTGAATTTGGTTAGGTTTGAATTAATTGGTTGAATCGTCATTATTTCTTCTACAAACACATCCTCCACTTCTACGCGTGGAAAATTTGTTTGTAAAATAAACAATGACAACCCTTTTAGAAATAATGTCAACGTGTAGCCCTACCCAATAGAAGAACTACTGATTCACTCCACATAACCCATTTCCATCCAATTCCTGCCCACGTATAAGTGAAAGTACGTCATGAATCGCATAATTTATATTTCTGGTGTAAATAGTACCCATATATTATCATTATAAAAATTATTTATTTTTTCAGGCCTGGAGTGGTATAATGAGTACATTTATTGAGCAAACTCAATTTCCAAGCTTGTACAATATCATTGACGGCGACACGATTCCGTGGAATTCCACTAGTAGCATAGGCGACGTCAGCTACATTGACTTATTACAGACGGTCGATAGCCGGAGAGCTCTTCACATTGGCGACATCGAGTATACTAGTTTGGGCGTGATATATTACAAAATGATACCAGACTTCATGACTTCAGTTAAGGAACATCTGGAACAACTAGTAACCAGTTATCCCATTCTAGTGTATAATGGTCAGATGGATCTGGTCGTGGCATATCCATTGTCTGTCAACTTATATTCAAACATGAAGAGCCCGTACGGCGTGGATTACAAGAAGGCGATCAGAAAACCGTACTATGTAAATAAAAAGTTAGCCGGTTACATAAAAACGGTTGGAAACCTCACAGAAGTGTTGGTCAGAAATGCGGGCCATTTAGTATCCTGTGACAAACCAGAAATCTTGTACGATCTCATTCACAAATTTATTATGAAACACCTTAATCAATAAATTGTAACCTACACTTTAAAAGAGTTTGAAATACTTACTAATAATGTTCATCATGGTTACCTATTTGTTTTTAATAAACCCMATCGACTGAACACTATAATTATACTATATAAATAGATATATTACTGCCTGATTTGACTATTTGTACTTAATATTTTCTTTTTACTTATATGGTTGTCATTTGACCATTCAATAAACAATAACCATAAATACTATTATCAGTTTTTATAAAAAATTCACTCTATAGAAGATTATTTTGTAAAGTCTTAAGTTTTTTGTTTTATAACCAATTAATATAATTTTTTTTTTAATTTGAATATGATTATTTTTGTTGTATTATGCTTAACCTATTTCAATTTTCAGTATTGATATATTATAATATTCCCATGTAAATATTTATGCTTCTTGTTAGCATCACAATAATATAATATGATCATTACATGATAAAATATAATAATATAATACCTTTTTTATATTTTTTCGACTTTGGTACGTCATTATCATAAGGTTTCGTGGCTCCAGATCTACTTCTAAGTTCTAAATCCTAATAACGCCAACAGGGAAAATACATATTTAAGAGGTGCCCATACAGTGGCAGCGCCAGGGTGAGCCCGGGCCCATCTTAAAAAGTATCGRCCCCCCTGTGGTCCACCCCAAAAATTAAATTTAATCATACTAGAATACTACTAAAAAATATCTCCTGAATAAATCAAAATATGAAAATTTTAAGTCATAATAGATGGCATGAACGACATTTTGAATGGGTTGAAAACTATGCACTATGCTTTCAAAGTTCAAACCTCATAAATAACGTGTATTTTTCGACGGCTGAATACGAAAATAATAAGTTGTACTTACTAGTTATTATTAAATATTAATCAATGTTATTAATAATTTTATTGAAAATTCCATGAACAACGGGATTAGATTATTAACCAACTATTATGAAGAAAATACAAGGGAAAGCATTATAGTTTTATATACTTTTGATGAATATACTTTTACATGATTATATATTTTATTAGGAAATAAATACTATTAATACATATTAACAAATCATTGTTTTAGTAAGTTAACACGATGAAGTGTAAGAAAATTGAAAGATTGGAAGTTGACCCTCCCCTCCCTCTTCTGCGCAATTGCCTGTTATCACTATTGTTTATATATATATATGTATATCAAGTCAACAATTTGGCCCTCCCTAAAAAATTTGGGCCCAAGCCTGGCTCACCTGGTATTAAAATTCTGGCGCCGCCACTGTGCCYAAACCCCCTCCCACCCCACTCATTCACCGTATTTTACACTTTTTATTACTAATAATTGATAGTATTAACCTCTTTTACTAACTAAATGTTATATATGTTTCTATCAAAATCAAACACATGCTCTTCGATTACACGTTAAAAATTACGCCTGGTAAGGTGGTATCATTATGTGACGACTGTTGTACTGCAGGCTGGCATTAAAGAGTTAAAAGTTTTTTTGAATTACTTAATTCATTTAACTATATCTAGTCACAATTTTTAACTTCAAAACTAGTTTAAATTACAATTGAAATAGATTAGTTTTTTAATTCAGTTAATTTTAAAATAATCCATTTAAGTAGAAATAAAAATGTTTTTGACATTTTGGGTTTTAGTAATGATCTATACATTAATAAGAGTACCTTACGGTTATAAATAAAAATGAATTAATAAATAAATACTATAATATTTCTATTAAGTTTATCGATAAAATAATATTATATAGTATATTATATGGAATATGGAACAAAATACCCATTATGTGATCCACGGCCCACATAATGTTCGTACTAATATTGAAAAGTCAATTAAACTTTTTAAACTAGTTTAAATTAATATTTTTTCCATCTTATTAATTTTAAACTTATTGAATAAACTTTATTATTCATCAACTGCTAACTTATAATAATAATTTAATGAACTTTTCTTCAGTCAACGGCGGATTGGCTGGACCAATTCCAGTAAGTTCCAGATGAGCCGATTCTCATATTAAAACTTTTAAGCTGATGTACTTAGATTTCAAATTGTTAATAATATTTAACTGCGTGTCTGGCGTCTGCGTTATTTGTTGTCGTATATTATTATCACGATTTTGGCTGAATTAAGAAATAGTATACCTACGTCACGAGTTTATTTATTTATTTTTAAACATTTAAAGTATCAACAATTTAATATAATTTGTTTTAATATTTTATATTCCAAGTGGAACTATAAACATACCTATATTGACTTTACAACGGTCGCGGTTTATAAAAAAAAAAAATTATGATTGTCACCACTTTTTAAGACAGTACAAATACTTGAATTTTCTATTCCAGCATAATTTCTTTTAAGAAAGTGAATTTAGTTGATAATTTGGATGGTCATTAAAATAAGTCAAGTACTCACCTTTTAAACGATAATGTAAAATTATAATTGAGACGATTTCTAAAAAAGTTAGGAAAAATTATTGTTAACTATTATAATATAATGTTATATATTGGGTGGTCCTGTAACACGAGACTTTCCCTAGCCGAAATTTTTAACCAATCCGCCATTATAAGTTCAGCTCGAGTCAATTATTTTCATTAAGGGAATTGGAACTTGGAAGCGGCAATTAAGGCTTTAAGGCTTACACACGTACAGCATAGGATTATAGACGTATTCTATTTCTATGTCCAACGTACCAATTGATATAATGAAACGATAAGAATTCTGAAAACAGGTTTAAATTTGTCGTCAAATCTTCTTGAGATCGACCTTCCCACACTTTTGATATTATCCTTCAAAATCCTAAAAGCTAAAAAACGATACATTAAAACAGAGTAATTAAAAAATTTTCATACTTTAATTTTTTCAGAAGATTAAATTAAAGAATTAAAAATTTAGTAAGGTCGATTTCAAGAAGACTGAAAAAATCTGTTTTCAGAAATCTTATCGCGTCATTATACCAATTGGTACGTAAGTATGTTGGACATAGAATACATCTTTAAGGCTATTATCCTATGTTGTAAGTGTGTATCTGCTTACATTTGAATAATTTAAGTTCATATTTATTTGTGTAGGTAGGTTTACTATATTTAATTCATCGAGTTTCAATTTAATATTATTATTCAAATTTATTATAWTAAAAATTCAAAATATTAGTTTTGAAGTACCTATACTAGTTTTTTACAAATTAAAATCTGTTTTCTAAATTAAAATCCATCAAACACAAGCTTATTCACACTTTTGTCTGGCATTTTGGTTTTTTTACATGTTTTTGTGGGCCTATTACAGCCCACTTAATAAAATAACTTCAACTAGTTAATAAAATACAAAAATTGGATCATTATAAATGTCAATAGTAAATAGTTGTGTTAGACAAAGACAGAAAATCACTGCTTCCAATCCCTTTAAAATCACGTTATACCCGCATGTGTTGTTCTCCGTCTTACAAGTGCATAACATAGCAAATTTTTCGTTCAGCAGAGCACGTTTAGCTCCGTGAGTTTAAAATTTAGAGTGAATTAATCTTTTATAAAAATTAAAGGTAACATTATTATGGATTCTCATAGGCTTTTTATTATATCTATTATTTTATTATGAGTATTTCAAGACATTCTAAAAATTTACAATTTTAAAATAATCATAACTTGCTATAAAATTAAAATATTATAAAAATATTATAAAAATATAATAAGAGAAGCCCTCCATAATAATGTTACCTTAATTTTCATAAGAGGTCAATTCACTCTAAATTTTAAACTCACGGAGCTAAACTTGATCTGCTGAGCGTACAATTTGCTATATTATGCACTTGTAAGACGGAGACAACACTTGAGGGTATAACGTCCTCTCTTGCACACGTTTGAGGCTTGCTTAGATACTCTGGAGAGTGGAGAGGTACTCGTACACTACTTTATCACCATTGATATATATATATATTTTTTTTTTATTCTGTAGATCGTAAGTCGACTGCCATCTACCGGCGGACATTTCATCTAGTAAAAGAATTTGTTCGTCGCCTTATCTATAGCCGCGAAAACATTTCATCACAGTATAAATTAATCGACTTTCGGCCGCCACTCGCGCATGCTGTAGTGTTGTTGTTTCTCTTATCGTTTTGTGTTTTACGCGACAAAATATATTAAATGTCGTTCACAAGACGTGCCGAGTAAGAAAATTGTCCCGAAGAAGAACTGTTAAACTTAACGATTGCCCGCCGATGATGTTTTATTGTTGACACGGACGATCGACCCGAAAACCATCAACGGTACGTACATGTCGAGTTGTCATAACGTCATTGCCCATAGGTATTAAACTAWTTGCGTTAAATTGAGACAGAAACTACAGTAAGTTGTAATATCGAGTCATAATAACAATATCGTTATCAATTCTAATCTATTACCCATTTTGTAACCAAACCGAGGTTGACAATTAGTAAGAACTAAGAAGTAACTCGCTCTTGTTTGAGTGTTTTGCCTTTGTAGTTTTGTCCTGACTGATGTCATGTCTTATCATAATATCATTGTCTAAGGTCTAAACGAAATTCTGGTTTTGTTGTTCAATATTCTGTGGAACCTATTGATGGGTATAATCCGAAGGTAAGCCTCTGTAAATCAATGATTATTCCTAGTCAAATCAATTTCATAACAGTTTTCTGTAATCATGAACAATTGGCAGACGATATTTTAATCTTTGACATAGATATAACTAGTAGCTGTGTGTTTTTTTCATATTCCACTAAGAATAAAATCAATGCATACTCTACTAAATGATAATAAGTATCTCGAATCGTGTTTYATTTTTCATCATTGTGGATATTGTCAGCTTATATTTAAATTAAATATTATTTGTTTAATATCATACAAACACTACACTTTTATGATGGGTTGTATAAAAATCTGATTAATTTTATGGTTTTGATAAAAATTAATGGGCATCTAAATCATGTTTAAGGGACCATTAAGTCACTATTGATTCATTAAATGTTAAGTGGTAATCATGCATTAGTATTGCATAATTTTGTTAGTTAACAGAACTGTGAGAAGCCCCGTATCAAACCATCGTCACCACCCAACAACATAACAATGATATAATTACCTTAAATTTTTTTAACATATAATTTTCATATTATAACATATTTTAAACAATAACAATTTCACTTATAAAAAGAGGTCAAATTTTCTCGAGTCTAATGCCAGCTCATCGATGATTTTATCAACTTTTATTTCAATGTCTCGATACATAGACATCATGTAGTTTATCTATAATCGTGGCCACAAGGAATTTAATGATAATATCAAAAATGTCTGTTATCATATGATATAATACTATTATATCATGTTTAAGTACTGTTATTTTATAAAACAAAATTGTGAATTTTTTTTTATTGATTATTAAAACTTATTAAACAATATCTATACATTACAATGTCATAATTAGCACATGATATTATTATATACACTCTCAAAGTGCCATGGGGGCGGATTTGTCTTCAGATCTGTTTCCATAAATACCCTACTCTACTGGAGTGGTACATGAAAATGTGTACCCTCATGTACCAGACATACAGCACAATAAGTCATAGTATGTTTATTTTATATTTTATCATTATATTCTATATTCTGAATTTCCCATTTGGAGTACCTATACAGTGTTCTTTTTATACAATAGAGATTGTACTGAGTGGTAAATCTAACATCAAATTTTGCTGCATTATTATGTTATATTTCACAGCGGTTCATAATGCTTATGATTTACAAAAAACTCATCTATTGGCATAAGGTCTTTTTAATAGACTATTATGTTAACTTAATGTACTTTTTCCGTTTAATTTTTAATGTTACTCAATTATATACAATGTATACTAATAATTTAGGTATATTTAATTTATAAAAATTTATAAATTGTTTTTAATGTCTATATATTTTTTTCTGTTTCAGCTTTTCAAATGAATGTCAATGTTAACAACAAAAATGTTTGCGTCAAATATATTTTAAGTGCATCCAATGCTTTATTTAAATTTGAAACATTTTAAATACTGGATTTATAAAATTGAGTTCTTGTATAATAGATTTAAACATCCTAAACAAATATTAATGAATAAGTTAATTGACATAAAAAAATATGAACAACAGGCTGTATCTTTGGCTGTTAAATTAATTAAAGATGGTAGTGTTGTTGCACTTCCAACTGACACTGTCTATGGTCTAGCAACTGATGCACAAAATTCAAGCGCTATAGGCAAACTGTACAATATCAAAGGGCGTAATTTTCAAAAACCAATTGCTATATGTACTCATCATGTAAATGATATTGGAAATTGGGGTGAAATTGGTCATTTACCGTATGGTCTTTTAGATTCACTATTGCCTGGGCCTGTGACAGTCATACTACAAAGAACACCATCTCTAAATCTTGCATTAAATCCTGAAAAATCAAATATTGCTATAAGAGTACCAAACAGTGGCTTTGTTTGTAATATTGTGAGTGATCTGAAAAAACCCATTGCTCTAACTAGCGCTAATGAGAGTAACAAACCCAGTACATTAAAACCAATTGAATTTTTAATTTTGTGGCCTAAATTAGATGCCATTTTTGATGGTGGTACTATTGGCTCTTCATTAGAATCACGTCAAGGTTCCACAATAATTGACTTGACAATTAATAACCGCTTTAGAGTAATTAGAACAGGATCTGCTCTTTTAAATACTTTACAGAAACTACACCAATTTGGTTTAAAAGAATTAAAATGAATAAATTACTAAGAAAAATTATAAGTAACAAAGAACTTAAGGATGAGTCTAATAAGGCATCTATTATACATTATTTTGAAGAAAGGTTAAATGAATTTCATTCAGAATTCTCTGGTAGTGATGTAAAGGTTACTAGTTCTAACTATGTTGCTGACAGATTATTGGCCAACTTAGAAGTGTTGTTCTTACATGGCCTTAAAGAAACATTTATCAGTCAGTTATCAACAGTGATTGGTAATGATGTGGACAAAACTATGGACATAAATTTTTGGCACTGTCTTCTTGTTCTTTCTCCAAGTGGTGTTGTTGATCAAGTAAGTTTATATATTTGATATGACCAACTACCAAGTATACAATAATGTAACTTTTTATTCTATGGTTTTCAGATAAACTCACTAAAACATGTTACAACAGATGTGGGAAAATGTAGAGCTTGGATTCGCTGTACCCTCAATGACTGCGTTTTTCGCAGTTATTTAATGTCTGCTGTTAAATATCGTCGGTATATTATTAAGTTTTATAACAAGACAGCAATTATACGGGATCAGCAATGTTTTGAAAAGATAATTGCTCTATTAGAAAGCATTGATCAGTATCATTTTGAACTTACTTTGAACTCGAGTCTTCTTAATACATGGCCCAATAGTACTTTAATGTTGGCTGGTTACTGGACTCCAGCTCTTAAAAACAACCCGTTACATAACAACAACCCTCAAATAGCTGAAGCAGTTGATGTCAATGATACTGATGAAGCAATTCTGATAAATGATCATAATAGATCAGAAGAAAGCTATACATCATCTTTATCTTCGTCATTTGTTGATTCTGAATTTTTACGTAAACCCCCCATTATAATGGACGAAGAAACTGTGTGGCAATTGATAATGAAACAACCTTCTACTTCTTATGCAACTCCTAATCTTACCAAAAATATACATGCTGTTGATATGTTGAAAGATAACTTTTCTAGTAGTGAAATTTCAATAACAAAACCTGATGAAATAATAACTAAAGAAGAGGAAAGTTCATCAGAGATACCAACTGCTGTACAGGAAGCTGAAAGCTTGCCCAATAAAGAAGAAAAATATCATGTTCAGAGTTTCAATGAATTATTAGAGTCATATAATTTAAGAGTGAGAAGTTCATCTGACAGCCCTAAAATGGAAGATTTGTACAAACAATTGACTGTACCAAAAATTATTGAAGAACAACATTTTCCTGAGCCTAAACCTTTATATGATGTAAATATAATAAAATTGTAAATAACTACTTTATATTATTGAAATRATTATTTAACACTTGCCTTATAATTTAAATATTTTTTATAGGATGACGATTCTTTTGTTGAAGTATCAATGCATCCAGAACGTTTGAGTTTAGATGTAATTATTTTTACTTATCATTTGTATTTTTTTTAACTGTGTTTATTTTTATAATTTTGTTTTATTTTATAGCTTTTAAAACAATATTTGGAGTACTTGTTTACACCTCCAAAGGAACTTGGCTTAAATTCTCAAGATTTCATGTGTAAAAGTTGCAATGAAACAATAGGCATTGATTTTGGAGAATATTTGTAAGTAAAATAAAAGCATACAGTTTCAATTACACAGATTATCTTATACTRATGCTTGTTTTAATTATTGAATTTTAGTAAATGCAATTTCACGGCATGTTATTACTGTGTACACTGTTTTGGATCAGAAAAATGGGCAATACCCGTAAAAACATTGTTCAATTGGGATTTCAACCAGTATCCGGTGTCTAATAGCAGTTCAACGTTTCTAAGTGAAATACAATACCACCCATTGTTTAACATGAGGAGTATCCATCATAAACTATACAAAGCCAACAAAGAAATGAACAAGTCAAAAGTAAAGATAAAATGATTAGTGATAACTAGGGTTAGGATGTTTATGGCTTGCATATCTTACTTTTAGTCGTGTATATTGCAAATCCAGTAATAAATTTATTTTGTATGACATAGAATCAGATACATTCAATTTTATTTTGCATATTTTTACAATACATATTTAGGGGTTTTATGAATAAATGCATATTTTGCCAAAAAAATAATTTAAATAGTTGAATATAATATTAACCTCAATATAAACACATAGGTAGATATTTTTGGTTTCATAACTAATATAAACAAGAAAATATAATAATATAATTTATATAATAATTAAGTTATCTTTACTATAACTCTAGAGTATATGTGTATTAATCACGTTTACAACTGATAATCGCGATATAGTTGTGTTGCTGATAGGAAGACATTATGGCCTATATTATAAAGTCCATACTTCAGTTTATGGTGTGCCACAGGTACTAAATAGACTGAAGTGTTTGTATCTAACCTAACCTAACTTATTTGTATCTTTTTAGTAAAAACGAAATTCCATGTTAATTTACTATAAGCACCTATAATTTCAATGATTCATTATATTATCATCTTTCTCATAGTTTTGTACATTTTTTACTAAATTTAAATTTATAAAAAAATTGTATATTAGTTTAGAACACAATCTTTATTAAAAATACAATTTTTAAACCATATATTTAATATTTTTAAAATCATAAATATCCTAAAATTAATGATAACTAAAAGAGTAATTTTTAGATTTTACTAAGCTAATTCGTCGTATGACAAAAATAGTTTATATTATATGATAAGTAAATAATTTAAGAAATATACTGTATAATGTCAGCAAATTCTCAAAAATCATATTTAAAAAAAAGTTATRSSKTYCMAAWTWAWTTWAMCMAAAAAATTCTAAAAAATAAACTACTTGACTTGGATAAATATTTTTAGCATCAAAATTGTTCTTATAATCAGATTCACAAATAGGCTATTTTTAATTTATTCAAAATAACTTTATTAATTTTAATTTTTTTTTTTCAATACTAAAATATAAAACATAAAAAAATGTATTATACATGTAGTGCTAGGGTCACTCAATGAACAAAAAAAATTAAAATAAAATAAAAAATATTAATTAAACAAAAGTTATTCCATAAGTCAGTTATATCTGTTACGCCTTAGATAGTGTCCGGCAAAAATTCATCTCATATTTAAAGATGGCGCTCTGTGAGTTGTGGTGATACAACTGTAGATGTGGTACTTATCGATTGCAATATAAATTCATTTTTAGTTTATGTAATGACCTAAAACTGTAAACATAACATGTTTGTCATACAGAAATGTATCTGTAATACCTATTTTGTAAATGTAGCACACGTGTGGTATGTCCATCCAGTAATCTCCTAGGCGTTTWACACTGAAATACAGTAGAGTCCCGCTAATCCGGACTAGATGGGACCGGACTCTCTCCGGATTATCGAAAATCCGGATTAAACGAAATGACGTTTTTTTTTTAACTTACTCATTAATAAACACTATAAATAATAACACAATACCAATATCATATCTTAATTATGGGTATTCCCGAATATATATATATTATACATGAAATAATATCACAAGTTTAAACCATATCTTAATTATGGGTATTCCCAAATATATATATTATACATGAGTACTAAATACGAWACATAAATTRTCCGGATCAGCGGGACTCTACTGTATGTCCTGGAATTGTCTGATGTTCAATGTTCCGTGCTATTGTGGATACCGATAATGAAAAGAGTTCTACTATCGATAGATTCCACTCTATCATTATATAACTACAACAACTTTTAGTCTTTTTCCTGTTTTTTTTATTGGCTTATGCAGCTCATCAAGGTTGAAAAATATACTCGACTACTTATCTAGTACAGTATTTGCAGAAAAAATATATTTTGTATATTAAAACATATTGCATTATTTGCAAATCATAATTTTTCATTTCTGAGGATGAAAATATTTCGTTACACAAAAAAAAAAAAAAAATGTTTTTAATTTAAAAATGAATAATGTTGAAAACTTTTCAATAACTTTTTTGCAATTCAATTGGAAATTGTGTAATTATTTTAAGTTTTACTGAATTTAAATAATTTAACATTAAAAAAGTGTGCAATTATTTTCAAGTTTATGCATGTAATTACATAGCATTCAATTTTAATATGGATGGTTAATGTAAATTGTATTGCAAATGTATAAAGTTTAATGTGAACAAATACTTAATATGTATAGTGTATACACTATACACGCTGTTTCTGTTTAACTAGTTAGTTATATACTGACTTCCAATTTATTATTTGAATTTAAAAAAAAAAAATCATATTTTATTAGTTTAAGGATTATTTGGATAATAATTTTTGGTTATTAGAACATATTTTAAACTTTTGTAAACCTAAAAATCCAATCTTTAGTGATAACTAGCAAAATTAAAATTGTACTTGCATATTAATTTATTATATTATGTTATACTTTAGAAATTGCGGTGGCAGATTTACTACCTGTACCATTATTTGTCTACATGCAAGTTTTATAACATTGATGAATTGTCCAAAGATATATGGCCCCGTGTTTATTTCTTTAATAACATTCACTTGTACTCATTTGCCGTAAGTTCTTTAAACTCAATTAGACAGAAAATTCATGATTTTGATTTATTTAATATTTTTCAGGACCTTCTGGAGATCTATTCTGGTACTTTATTTGAGTTTCTTGAACGTAAGATTGAAACTAGTCGAAACCACGTTCTCAATTGTTTAGTATGCAGTCAAAAAGGTTTTATATGTGAACTTTGCCGCGACCCCAAAATTATCTACCCGTTTGACTTAGGAGACAATTATCGGGTAAATAAGACGTCTGAGTATATAATCTTCATCTTACAGTTGTATAACATAAAGCCACAAATTTAGGAGAGGAAAGAGTACCTTGTTGCCCATGGTGTAAAATGTAGGGGGCGGTATTTAAATAATTTTCTATGTAAATTTAATTATAAAGTATAATATATGTATTATGTATTTTAATCATCATTATTATTATAACCTTCTACAAGGTTAACTTTGACCAAGAACGATATTTTGCGTTTTGACTACAGTCTAAAATTTAGGGGGAGCAAGTGTACATTGTTAATGAGCAATGAATAATTAATGAAATATTTATATTCATAGACAAGTTTTATTATTTTTATTCACATTTTTMAAAATTAATAATACATTTGAAAAAAACATGTATTTATCATAATAGTAAGGTAATATACGAGTAGATAATTGGTTCAACTTGCTGTGAACTTACATTGTGTATAACATAAYAACCTTAGCTTACATTTTAAGAAATAATTTCTGTTTTGGAAGCAGGGACACAAAATGTTCAAATGCAGCCTCACAGCATATCAAATGTGTATTCAATAGTTTTAATGTTGTGTAATAAATAATAATCTTTATCAATAGAGCAAATCAATTTAAACTTAATGATAAAAATATTATTAGTGTTTTCAAATGGATTTTTTGTGGTATTTTAATTATTTAAGAGGCAGTATGAAAGAGGTATGGACACTCCCTATAGAAGATTCCTACAAGCACAGATCCTCTTAAGTGTTTCATAACTTTTATTATATTATTCATACTATTTTAATTAATATATACAATTTTTGTAATTGTTTTGTCATGTGGGGTTGATATCATTTTTTAATGGGTTTTATTAAATAAATGTATTTTTGAGTTTGTACACTGAAATATCCCCACTTGTATGCTACATATTTTGCAAATAATCTACTCCTTAWATAATTAAATAATTTTAAATAAAGCATTTTGATATCCATAAAATATTAATAAAATTATTTTTTTGTAGTGTCGTCATTGCAAATCATTATTCCATCATGTTTGTTATAAAGAAAAAAATGTRTGTCCGAAGTGTGAACGAGACAAAATTAGAAAGATGAAAAAAACTTCAAATAGTGAAGATGAAGATGGAGAAAATTAAATATTGGTTAAATTGTGATTTGGTAAACACCAAAATCGTAGTAAAATATTTTTAATTGTTATCTTTCTTTATATTATATTATTCTAATTTTTCTTATAATTTAAAATCATAATATTTTTTAAACATTATTTAAGCAATTATTTATTAAGCATTTATTAAGCAAATATTTCTTAATCTTTCATTATTGTTTTTTAATTGATGTTATTTATATTATTATGTTACTTATAAGTTATATTTTAAATGGACAATAATGTTGAAAACTTTTTGATGCATGATAGAATTATTGTGTACATGGTTTTTCCTAAATATTTTTAAGATTTATCAGAAGTCACTCTTTTTAATTGTAACTTTTTTTTAAACTATTGATAATATTTAAATAATTTTTACATTGTTTATAGTGTGTCAAATTAATTGAATTAATTTTAATAAATTGAAAAAAGATAAATTAGAATATAATATGTTTATTAACTGAACATGTATACATATTATGACTTATAAAAAATGTATTAAATGTTAATACATTTATAATATATATATATATATTTTTTTTTATGTACAACACTATTTAATCTTCAACAAATGCTTCATTCATGGCATCATCTGAAAATGTTGAACCAAAAAAGCTTATATCGTTGTAATCTTCCACATACTGAAAATTATAAAATAAATTAGATAGTAATTACTAATTATGAAAAAAACRTTACTAAGACAACTTTGAATGGAGACAATGAAATTTAACTTAAATAGATTTAATTATATWATTCCATAATAATATATTTATATAATGTTATGTCATCACTAATAATTTTATCAAATATGAATCTTAATTTTTCTTAATTTTATGCAATTAAAAAACTTAAATCTATATTAAGATATTATAGCTACTTATTTATATTTACTTGTGCAGAAGGTAATGGGAAACCACTGCACAGTGTAACGTCCCTAGTAGAAAACAGTYGAACATTATTTAATAACAAATTGACTGTTGTCAAAATATCAACCTAACAGGTCACATTGTAAAAAGTAGATACTTAAATACTTMAATATTTAATTCAAACCAATCCTTTTTTTATTTAATGTCACTAATTCTTGTGACRTTTAAAATATTTAAAATATCCTTTACATTATGTTTAATGGGATAGCCAGAGTTGTAGGCTATTGAGGATTTTTAATTTTAATATCTGGAATTATGACTGTGATTTTAGTAAGTAATATGTAATAACAGATTTAAAAAAATCTCACACAGCATGTGACATCTAACTTCAATGTAATATGTTGGCTGTAGAGAGAAGTTGGCCATCTAGTAGTTTTATATATCTATGTAAATACTAAAATACATAATATATGATAGGTTCAAGATTTATTTTTATATTTCAGTATTTCATAATTTTATAGAATGTATGAAACTAACAATATTTACATATTAGGATTATACAAAGGATATTACATTAAATCTCTTATGAAAATCTTTAAGTATATTATTAGATTAAGGTTACCCGAATATCATCGACTGAACTATCGTTGTTGAATATAGGACTTGGAAATGATTCTGTACATTCAGATGAAGAAATATTATTAAACTTTTGGCTGTCTTGATCCTCATAAACATGATTAAATTTCATATTCTACAAAAAACGCATGATAATGTTAGTTTTATTYTTATCAACACTTAACTGAAAATTGAAATGAGCTTTTACATTTTAAATGATAATAGCCCAAAAATGTTTTAAATAATATATATATATACTGTAATACAATAATTATTAACATTTGTCTCATATTCTTATAAAACTTTCCAGAGTATACTCACAGGACTATCGATACCAGAAATGCTTTTGTCATTATTTAAAGAGGAGAGCTACAATAAAAATTATAATAATAATAATAATATAGTTGTAATAAACATATTAATATTGTTAAATATGGTACATACTTCTAGGCTCTCTAAATTATTTTCATCATGTTGKCYATCTTGATGTATAGAAGAGAGCTACAACAGTTAAATGTATATATATAKATGTACTTATTTAATTTAATTTATTGATATTTATATTTATATAAGACATAGGTATACTTTAGTTATCTCTAAATCGTTTCCAAGCATCATTTCATCATCATCTAAGGAATGCTAAAATACCCATAAAAAAATAATAAAATAAAATTTTTGCATTGATATTTATAAATAATATCACATACTTTTGTGATCTCTAGATTGTATTCATCTTCCAGTTCACCACGATATTCAGAAGAGAGCTACAATAGTTATAAAAATGTGTTTATWATACTTGTTTATTTTATTGCAATATTTAAACAATATATGTATACTTCTATGATCTCTAAATTGTTTTCATCTTTTAGCTCACGCTTTATTAATTCAAAATAAATACAATTGATGTACTCAGTTAATTTATATTAATAAATATAATATAATATAATA